ACATATATTCTGTAAAGCATGCTTGTTTATAGGACGAGAGCTAAGAAGGCACAATGTCACCCGTTCCACCTCAGCTGGGAATACCTCTGTCAAGGAATCAAGGCTTTCACTGCCCTGTGCATGTCCTTAAATGACTAAAAGTGCCATGGGCATTGATTTGAGAGATTGCAAAGACTATCAAGTAGGTGAGTTTGCAAAAAGGACTCTGCAAACGGTGACACTCGACTCCATATGCAGCCCCTCACTATCAGTCTCCACAGTCAGCTGCAGCTGGTCAGTGGCAGGCGCCTTTGTTCCTCCACCGGACCCTGTGTGAGTCCTCAGGAAAGGATTCCAATGTCGAACAAAAACGATGTTACATCAGTCTGCTTCCCTGCGTGGCCCCTACCCTACTTGTGATATCATCACATGAACAAACGTTTGTGCCTTTTTAAAGCCCACATTGTTAGAGGAAGTCATGGCGTGTGCATGGTTTGGCAATGGACATCTTTGCTCTCTTGTCAAAAGAAAGCCAGTGAAACTCTAACCAGACTTTCATGTGGGCCCCTCTAGATGCCAAGATATATCCTTGGGGGAGTAAAATATGGTAGACGGACAGCTGTAGCTTTTCAACCTCATCATGATGCTTTTCCTTGGAACAAAGACAACTAAGGGAGGGCAGACGAAGGAATGGGCAGTGTACCCAAGGTTGCCGACTGTAGGGTGAACTCAGTACTTAGGAGGGAAGTGGAAGGTTCAGAGTTTCTAGAACAGTTTACTCCTTCATATCAAGACCGAACTCAGAGGAGGAGAAGAGGGAGCACAGAGCTTCAGGTCACCTTGGCCCCAGAGCCAGGCTGGCTAGAGGGAAGCAGAGGCTTGTGGTCCTGTAGGAAGGGCTCTGGCTGTGGATCAGGTTGGGAAGGAGCAGGAAGGGACTGGTGACAGGGTGGAGGTGACCGCCATTGAGGAAAGGACCGTGTCACTCTTTCAAGTAACCATGTTTTACGGGCACAGCTACCTCCTGTCCTCCCTGATCATGCAAGCCTTTTTAAATGATTAAGAAAAAAAATCCTGCTTTTAAAAATAAGTTATTCCTTTTTTTATAGACATATCAAAAAGGGAGAAAAAGAACAGGATAACAAATACATTTTAATGAATGATAATAATTTTGAATCTACTTATTAAACACCACACAAATACTTATAAAAAGTAAAAAAAAAATGCTAATAGTTTCAAAAGAACATGAAAGAGCATGCAGAACTTTATAACAGATCTGACAAACTAAGGCCACGCAGATCAAATCTGGCCCACTGCTTGCTTTTATAAATAAAGTTTTATTTAAACACAGCCATACCTGACTGTTTACATATTGTATGTAGATATTTTTGTGCTACAAGAGTTGAGTGGTTGTAACAAAGCTTGTGAAACCCAAAGTACTTGGTCTTTAAAAAAAAAAAGTTTGAAAAAAGAAATTTTTTTTTAAAGTTTGCTGGCCTCTGCTATAGAGCATTCTAGATATAATGTGCTTCATTCCATATACTGAATCATCAGCTAGCAAATGAAAATGTGTCTTAAGTTCCTTACTACTCAATAATTGTGTGCATTGTCACTGCTTTATCTCAGATGTTTCAAGGAAGAATAGCTAAAGTCAATTCCATAGAAATAGGCAAGGAGTAACAAACAACAAACGTTTGGCTTTAGAGATTACTGGAGCACCAGGCCGCATCTACTGGTGACTGCTCAAATCACCTCCTACCACATGCAGAAGCCATCTGTCCTTCCAAAGGGCTGTTAAGCTGCTCACGCTCATTTGCTTAATTAGCTAATTAGTGCACACAACTCTTCATTCTAGAAGCATTAATTGAGCACCAACTCAGGTAAGAGAGATTACACTGTCCTCAAGGAGCCCGTTATCCAGCAAGAGAAACACACGTATACAAAGTCAGCGGGCTATCATTTGACAAAAGCTAACGATAAATGGCGTATGCAAGATGGCTGACTAGAAGCCCCCAGTGCTTGTCTTACACCCAAAGACAGCCCAAACCACAAGTTAACAACTACATTTTGATGAAAATAATTAATGGAGACAGCCAGAGTACATCAAGGAGCAGCAGACAGTGTGTTCTGCCCGGGGGGCCACCGCACACTTCTCTCCCTGAGCCTGTTGTTGCTGTACCATCCCTGCTTGGTGGCCTGCCATCCCCAAGCCTAGCTGCTGCTCCAGCCTATCCTGCTCCACTGTCATGGAGCTGCTCCACCCACCCCGCCAGTCTCTCTTGCACCCTGTTCCTCAGGATCTAAGCTGCCTCAGAACCCTGCCTCCTAGAGAGAGGGCACCTTGGCCTCCTAGAGCAGCCATACCCTCAGCATCAAATCTGAAGCAGTTTCTCTTCCCAGGAAGCCCCTGCTTTGACACCCCCAGCCTCAGGCAGTAATGCTGCCCTGGCACCAGAGCTCACTCTACTTTGCAGAAAATCAGTGCCTTGTCTGAGTCAAGTAGCTACACCTCCTAGGAAACAGCACCGCGTGAGCTGGGCTACCTGCTCT